GTGCACATGGATGCCGAGTATGTGCAATTCTTAAAAACGCGTCAAGCAGTGGGTGATTCTGCACTTACCCAAAATTCTATTGCCGACTTTTCGTCATGGGCAATTCCCAAATTGTTAAATCCATAGGATATTGAAAAAGGATTTAAAAATTAAACTAGTATTTCAATGGCGTCTTAAGAAATATAGAACTACATAAACTTACGCAATCCTGAAATCAGCGCGTACGCTAGATTTGGCGCGCTAATAAATGGGCGCATTTGCTAGATTTGGCGCTTTTGCGCATACATTTTCGCTGCAATTTTTTACAGTCCTCAAAACGGAATAGTACTGTTTTTTCTTTCTGTTTCCTTACGCGATTCACTTTGTTTACGTTTTATGCAATCCCTAACGAAATGAAAATTTTCACCCCTTCCCCCACAGACGTAACATGATCTCTCTGGCGTCGACGAAATGACATCATGTTTATTTTTAGATTTGCTACGACGGAATGAGTCATTTGTAATACTTTGGTTTTGAACACTTGGTACTTTCGATTCATTAGACTGAACTTTTTGTTATGTATTTCAGACAATGATTTTCCTTGGGATGAAAAATATAAATCACATTCTCGCCCTAACTGTGTTGGATTAAACCATGTTCTGCCCTCGCGAACACCTATGTATTCTTTCGTTTTGAAATCCAAAGTTTCGTACAATTTGTCTGCAACAATTAAATCAAATAACTTTCTAAAATCCTTTTGTGTCTCCCTAACCTGACAGTAGTATTCAAATTTTGCGGTCAATCGCGATGCAAATTGAACATGTGACTCATTTGCTGCGCGTTGAGTATGTTTAAAGGTGTTCAGAATCTCTCTTGGTGTCGGCTGAAATTCAGCTAAAAACAACTCTTTTAGTTTTTCGTAATTCGACAATACTTCTTCAGTTGCATACGTTAAAACATTATTTGCTTTAACCCCTAGCAAATTAATTAGTATTTCAGTTTGTAAGTCTTTGGGAACTTCTTTGATGGCAAAAGCTTTTTCCAATGAAATGAAAAACAAATGCAATGCCTCTGGCCACTCAGGAACAGAGATTGTAAGTGTTTTAACGCTTTTCAGTAAATTTTCAACACTAGTCTGTGTGTTTCTTCTATCACCTGATAATGATTGTGATTTTAAATTTTCCAGCTCAATTTGCTTCTCAATTTGGGCTAATTTAAGACGTTTGATTTCTAACAGATAGTGTTCATTACTTGTCTTAGGCGTCCAATCCTCAGCGATCGATTTGACACGCCACAAACAAATTCGATGTTCGTTTTGAAGATATCAGAATTTTCTATAATTTTTCTAATGTCAGCTTTTTTAGCATTTTCTGGAACATTCTCTCCAATTCTTTCGGCAATTAATTTTAAATCACTCTTGTTTGAATTATTTAAGAAACTCATTTTAAAACGAAATACAAGTATCACTATCTTAAAGAAGGAAAAGTTTTCACAGTACCTTTTTTGAAGTTCGCCGGCTTGGAGCCCCCATAGTTGTGAGGGTGACGTCTTATCATCAAACAGAGATCACAGTCACGATACAAAGCATCAGGTTTTATTCCTTTTTTATAGAAGAAAAGATAAACGGAATGAATATGTACAAATGGATTAAATATGTTTAGGAGAGTAATCACACTGGTTCCACTATGGAGATGTTAAAGTCTTAGCTGACCACCTACGTGCGGTCACTTTAGGTAAGTTAAAAGTCCGATCGCCTACGTGCGACTAGTAAGCGTCTAGTTGTAGCTCCTTCGCGAGCGTTCTGTTAGACCGCTTCTCTCGGACTTCTCAAACCAACTGAAGATCCTGGAACCTGGACAGTTCCTACAGAAAAGTGATAGATGGCGACATCTGGTGCTTCGTTGAGGCACGATTCCCACATATATGAAAGCAACATCACCGATTATGTGATTTAATAATAATCATTGGTTAAGTGATATCTATCATGTTTATGTGACATCAACAGATAAATTGCTGGAAGAACAAAGTCATGTTATTAACTCTCTGACTGTGAATCCGTGAATAATGCATTCACCATTTATCCAGAATATATATGAGGAATGTTCTTTTTAGATGATATTTAAATTTTGTGGTGAATTAATGCAGCAACCACTATTTATGATTCTATGACACTATTAATGATTCCAATTTATGATTTCATTTGAATCAAATTATCCATTTTATTAATTGTACCCATGGTGCATATGTCATAGCAGCTGGTAATCAGTTGAATTATGTCAGAGTTTATGTGATACTGGCAGGCAACTGCTGTGAGAACAAAATCACTTTAATGCGATGCCAATTGATAATCAGTGGCTTGTAAAATCATTTATGCCCTATAGTGGCCATTAATTATTGCCAATGTAAAAGTTGGAAAAATTAATCAGTATTTTTATTTTTTGGTAAAATTTGGTTGGTAAATTGGATTAAGAGATATTAGTGTATTTTTTCCAGCCTAATTTAATGTCTATTTAATTCTGGAAATTAATATATTAGGTGAGATAAACAGTTGTCTAGAAAATCAAATACATATACCGGAAGTGCATAGGACTTATTCCATAATGTTCCCTAAAAACATATGAGATATCTCACATCTTGCTGTAAATTTAAAATGCCCTTTATATATAAACTAGAAACCCGACAAATGACCACTGTTCTAGATATTATAAATTTCAATTAAATTGATTTGTGAAAAGGTGTCTGCTAATTCAAGCTGAATTAACCATGGCAGGCAGCGAGGACGCCCCTTTGCTTACTCCCCCACAGGGTTACCCCCCTTCTACTTGCTTAATTGCTTAAAGTAGAGTGCAATGAAGGAAACCACTGACGGTACATTTCTTAAGAGCCACTGCTAGCTCAGTAAATAAAGGTGATTTAAATAATAAAATGTTAATTCACATGTGAAAGAATCTCTTTGTGCACAACATTTCTTGTGTAGATCTTTCCATCCTTTTTAAGCTCGCCTTGCAGAGGACCATCAATTATTTTTAATTTTACGTCTGTTCTTTCACGAACTCTTGAACAGGCAACATAAAGTTGACCGTGTCCAAATGCAGGCTCAGGTAAAAAAAAAAAATGCCAACACGCTTAAGCGTTTGGGCCTGAGACTTATTGATGGTCATAGCAAAGGCAAGTTTTACAGGAAATTGTCTACGTCTCAATTTAAACAGCAACCCTGTGCCATGGCAACTTCATCCCATTAGCTAGTACAGTTACGCAAGCAACCAATAAACTATCAGCAACAAACAGACACTTAAGCAGCATATATATATGGGGTGAAGTAACATCATCTCCTCCGAAACACACCTGCCTCCCGAGCTTAATGAAACACTGTGGGATTCCCCAGGTCCGTGGCTCGCTATTTTGACCATTCGCATTTTCATGGGATTTTAATTAGCCGAGATATTAATTAAAAGCTAATTTTCCCCTACATTTTCCACTTTCTTGGGTTTTCCCTATTAGAGGGATTTGGCTACGTGTCAGATTCTTTTTTCTCGAATATCTATGCAACGGCGCCGAGATGAAATTCGAGACACGTATCCTCGGATTCCAAAAAATTCTCCGAATACATCGATACCATTCTCATCTTCATACGACTTTAATCGGCCAAAATATTAATTAAAAACTATAAAAACATTAATTTCTGCGCTCATTTTTCCGAGTGGCAACAATAAACTATCGGCAACACACACTTTAGCCGCTTATATATATAAAGATGTGTGTATGTGCGTGCATATGTATGTGTCCATGTCCAATAGTCCTTTTTATTCCTTATTTTAATTTGGCTATATCCCATTTCTGTTCTAAGTATAGTAATTGCTTTAATAACTTTCTGGACTGCATCCTTTTGTTTCATGGTTGTTAAGGTAATCCTCCTGCATTGTGACAGTCCATATCTAATCACAGATTCAGAATTAAAAACAAAGAAATGAAATCTATGCATAGCTTGTTTGTCTCACTTTGCTTGCTGTTGGCAGCATGTGCTTTTCACTCTGCTTTGCCCATTGTTTCAAGATGTATCAGCTGTATGAAATTGTTGGATGCTTCTTGCAGCCAAAATGGTGTGTGGTTGAGAAAATACAATGACTATGTTAAGAAATGGTTGGCAAACTCAAAATTGACTATTCTAAATTTTATGTTCCTCCTCTCTAAGTTCATTTGTTCTCCCAAATTTGAGATCTTTCCATGTTACATAACGCTGCTTGGCAAAGAGAACTAAAACCTAAAATTAACCAATCACAGTTTAGCTGTACATATGCACCTACGTATTATAATTACTGCGTGGCAAGCAATTATGCCACTTCTTCTTTCTGAACTTCTCCTGCTATGCTTACTTATCTAAGATGATGTCTTACTTTTTTAACATATATACATAAAAATTGTTGGATTCAACTGTGATCGAAACATAACTTGTCTGCCAAAGAGATGATTTTATATGTGTAAAAATAAAGATGGTAAATCTTCAAGCTCTGTTTTGTTAGTTGCATCATCATGCCTTCAACCCTCAGCCACTACAGAAATTAAAAGTATTGGTTTCCTCTACGCATTAAAATATCACACACACATATATGCACATATATATAAGAGAGGAAAAAGGAAAAACTAAAAAATTGTACAACTAGATAAAAGTTTCCTGTTTGTATTTCAGTATATAGTACTTTAAATAAAAGCATGGTTAGCATTCCTGATTTCTATAGGTGTATTCTTATTGGAATATTAGAGAAATTTGGAAGATGCTATTTAATTTAAATGCATTTAGCTTACATATTATTTTTTTAAATATTTGAATGGCTGTTTATTCATGTTAAAACTTTGTTTCGTTAAAAATTAAAGAGTATGTTTTGTTATGTTTTAGAACTAAATCAAAAGCTCTGTAGTTTCAAATCAAAAAGTAACATAACTCATTTTCCCAAATTTCCACAAATGAACTTTTAAAATTTAATATGCCTTATTTTTTTAATTGTTTGAAATTTTTATTTTAGAGTATGGAGAGTTCCTTCATTTAAAAGGGAAAACCTTCACAGATTTTGATGCAATCAGGAAAGAAATAGAAGATGAAACTGACAGAACAACTGGTTCTAATAAAGGAATTTCACCTCACCCAATTAATCTGAGAGTGTACTCTCCACATGGTAAAATATTTTTGTCAATTATTATATGACCTGATAAAATATAATACACAGAAATTATTATTGAGGTTTGCAAATTTTATTTTTGTAGTTTAATTCTTTCATTCATATATGAATACTACATGTTCTTTGATATATGAGTGTAAAGATTTGATTTTGCAAAGTTTTTATTAGTAAAAAAAATATAAATTTTCTTTCTTTATTGTCAAAATTTATATGATCCTTAATTTTATGCGTCTAACATTTTTGACTCCTGTTTCTTCCTTTTTTTATTGCTGGTATTCGAAGTGTAAGTAACATTTTGGATGAATTTGGAATTCAAACACATGGCTGATAGTAGAGTCATTGCAAATTAGCATTATAAACAATGAACAATCGGCTATTCCAGAATGAAAGTTTGGGGTGCCTGATTTGGTTCTTCTAACCTTTTGAAATGAATGTTACTATAAAGAATACTTGTAGTTAAAGATACTGTAGGAACAAGAATCAGCTAAGTTGCAAAAGAATCTTTTATCTTCATTTGTGGGAATGAAAATGATGAAGCATATGGGTTGATCTTTACAATATGGTAACTGGTAGTTTGGCGACATTTTGGAGGCGATAAAGGTTACTACCTGGGACTTTGGTAATAATGTGAACAGTACTCAGTTCCGATTACGCATTATTTTGCGTGAGGGAAATGAGAGATCATGGGATATGTCATGTGATATTAATGGACGAATTACGGTTCTTTAATCGGAAAAGGGGGGGAAAGCGAGAAAAAATGTGGAAATTTTGTATTTAGCTTTATTCTGTGTTGTGTGAAACAGTGTTGTTTAATTTTTGGATCCCATGGCCCTAACTAAAGTGAATTCGAAATGGGTATTTAGGCATTGTGATAAAGAGAAGTTTGCTTTTTATTTAGCGGAGGAAGTATGGAGGAAAAATTCGCAGAAAAAAATCTTTCAATAATTTTATTGAATGAATTAGAAAAGTGTATCCGCCACGTAATCAAGATTCTGAAGAAGATTAGGTAAGTTAGTATTTTTAATTATTTGAGGATATTATTTTATGCATTGTTCTAAATGTAAGGTGGAAAGGAATTTGGTATATTGGGAAAAATTGTTATTAGCAATGATTTAGTTTAAAGTAATTAGGATTGTAAGGTAATTTTTATTAATTTATGTATGTGCTCATTTATATTTTAAGTAGTGTTTTTGAATTTAATTATATTTTAATGAAATGATAGTTATTTTGTGAATTTTATGTTTGTAGGAATTTGGTATACGTTTTAGTTGAAATAAACGTGCATGGAAATAATTTAAATATTTGATACTAAATATTTGTAATGCTTGCGGTATGAATTCGTTGGTGACGTGTATAATGTAATAGATGATTTAGAGGTAAAAGTTTTTTGGATATTTTATTTATTTATATGTGGAAATGTTCATATTTGTAAAGGGTAAATACTTTTTCGCGATCAGGTAATTTCATATATGTTCTTTTTACCGGGTTTAAAGATTGAGAAAATTGTCATTTTTGTCAAATTTTTCTAATTATGAGAAAAAAGCAGTGTACATGGATATAGTGAAGAGTGTGCGCAATGCCATTTTTGTGCAATTCTGGGATTTTTTTTAAGTAAAAATAAGTCGACGTGTATTGTACATGGTTTAGTGATATTTAATTAAATGATAGTTATTTTGTGAATTTTATGTTTGTAGGAATTTGGTTTACGTTTAAGTTGAAATAAACGTGCATGGAAATAATTTAAATATTTGATACTAAGTATTGGGTTGGAGGGAAAGTTCTGTTGTATTTTAAAGAAATATTTGAATTCATTTATAAAAATATGTGTTTAATATTAATCAATTAATAGTATATGCTCCGTTATTTGTTACAACCTGTTGCCATCTTTCAGGTAACCTGTAAATTCCTGTTTAGTAGAAGTTTCTCGGCCATTGGAGTTAAAATAGTCAGCAACTGTCTTAGAAACAACTTTTAAAAGACTTGAAGTTTTTTCCTGTTAGATAATCTTGCAGAGATCTGAACAGGTAATAATCAGATGGTGCAATGTCAGGTGAATACGGTGGGTGACTAAGGACTTCCCATCCTAACGCATTCACTTTTGTTGTGTCACCGTTGCAGTATGCGGTCGAGCATTATCGTGGCGGAAACTATTCCTTTTCTGGACGCTAATGCTGGCTTTTTTTTCTTTGATAGCTGCATTCAATTTATCCAGCTGATTGCAGTACAGATCTGCGTTAATGGTTTTTCCCTGTTTCAGCAACTCGTAGTACACTGGACCTTTCCTGTCCCACCACAAACAAAGCAGTACTTTTCGTTGATGGATACTTGGTTTCCAAACTGTTGCTGATGATGTTCCTGGTTTGCAGTAAGATTTTTTTCTTTTAATATTCTCGTAAAGAATCCACTTTTTCATCTCCAGTAACCAGCCTGGTCCAAAAACGGCTCCACATTGTGTCTAATCAGATGTGATGAACATATTCTTACACGATCAGACAAATTCTTTTCCGTTTAATTCACGTGGAACCCAAACTATTTGCTTTAAACACAAACAACCCAAGAGATTTAATGTGATCTCCAACAGTTGTATGATGAATGCCAAACTCTTCTGCAATTTCTCGACTTGTTAAATGTGGATTATTTTTTTCCAACATGGATCGCAAAACATCGATCTTGGATGGTCGTCCAGATCGAACACTTTCTTTGAGGCTCATGTCCCCGAAACGAAATTTGCTAAACCATCTTTGACAAGTACGAACATTTACAATATCTTTTCCAAATACCGCACATAAATTTTTACATGCAACAGATGCGTTGCTTCCTTTTTGGAATTCACATAAAATGCAGTGTCGTAAATGCACTTTATCTACCGACATGTTTTCCCTTTAAATATTACAAGCAAATGATGAAGGGTAAAAAAGGGCACCTTTTATATTATACAGCAGCTAAAAAAAAAAAAAAAAAAAAAAAAAAAAAAAATCCGATTGACTCACTAGTCAGATGTTTTTTTTATTTACAAGAAAAATCACCTGATTATTTAAAATGCGACAGAACTTTCCCTCCAACCCGATATTTGTAATGCTTGCGGTATGAATTCGTTGGTGACGTGTATAATGTAATAGATGATTTAGAGGTAAAAGTTTTTGGATATTTTATTTATTTTATATGTGGAAAATGTTCATATTTGTAAAGGGTAAATACTTTTTCACGATCAGGTAATTTCATATATGTTCTTTTTACCGGGTTTAAAGATTGAGAAAATTGTCATGTATTTCGTGAATTTTTCTAATTTATGAGAAAAAAGCAGTGTACATGGATATAGTGAAGAGTGTGCGCAATGCCATTTTTGTGCAATTCTGGGATTTTTTTAAGTAAAAATAAGTCGGCGTGTACATGGTTTATGTGTATGTGTTATTTTGAAAAAACGCGTAAGGAGTATGGTATTGTGCACTTTTCCCAATTTTGCAGTGAATATTTGTCATGATTAAGCAGTTTTGTTTGATAAAATTTCTAGCATAAGTGTAATTCGGCTACTAGATTGTTGGAAGAAGTGTTCAGTAGATAAAAAGAAAAGAAACATGTCTTTACTTCGTGAAGACAAAATGGCGGCGGGGGAAAAAAAATAGAGGGTTGCTGTAGGAGAGTTGGTTGCCAAATTTTCGCCAAAAAATCGCCAAGTTACCATAATGTAAAGATCAACCAGCATATGCTCACTCGATAACAGAAGGCAAACTGTTCGAGAAAGTTCCAATCAAGGAAGAGAAACAAGGTGCTATCTATTGACAGGAAGGAAAACAACTATGAAATAAATTATTTGAAAACTGAAGGTAAAAAATAAAATCATGTGGCACAAATCTATTCTCATAACTTTCCGACAAACAAGTTCCTACTTCTCAGAAGAAATATATGAGGTCGTGGGAGATTCAAAATATTGTAGTCTTTTTGAAGTCTGAACAGGTTAAATGTATAATGCCCAAGTGATATGGGTATTAAAATATAAAAAATGTGGTGAATTCAGATGAAAATTATCAACACAAAGGGGAAAAAATAGAAATCATGTGGTATAAATCTGTTCTCATAAGACTGCAACTAACAAATACCTACTCCTCAAAATAAACAAGAGATCAAAGGAGACTCAAAATAGATAGCCCTTCTTGAATCTCGACAGGTTAAATGTTTAATCCGTGAGAGAAGGGACTGTTAGTGTATAAAAAAAATGAGTTGAATTCAGAGGTTTCACTTGAATTTTAACATGCCAAAGCAGATCTGGCAAATAATAGTTTTTTTATTCTTTGAATTTATCATTAAGCCCCATTTTAACTCACTCGAGAATTTTTATTAGCTTAGGCAATTTAACCAGGTGTGAAATCATCAAATTAAATAATTATTTATTAAAATTTTTCTAATAAATGCTTCAATTAAAGTGAAAAACTATCATTATTTTTTTAATTTTGCCATTTTTATGAGAATTAATTGGATATATATGTTGAAATAAAAACTGTGTGTTACACTTTGGCTAAGAAGATTGAATTATAGCTTAATTGGAATATTTTAATTGCACTTCCATTTACTTGCACGTATAGTGATTCTCAATTATCCAGGCTAATGCTGGGGAGCAGGTCATGAGTAATTGAAGAATATGGATAATTCAAACTGTCAATTTTCAGGCGTACTGTATGCATTTGTTATTTATCAGTAATTTTATTTTATTTTCAAAAAAGTTTAATTTTTTTTAAATCTCGGTGCTTATTTTTCAAAGTGCTGTTTCATTTGTAATTGATTCTCCTTTGGGAGTCTCAATGGAAGTCATTGCTGTGTCAGGATTAATGTAATTGTCAATGTCTTCTTCACTTGTATTTTCAATATTGCTTTCCGCATCTCCTCTTCTCTTGTGACATTTGAAATGATATCGACATCATTCAAGCATTGAAAGCCCACACATGCGACAAACAGGTATGAAAAAAAGAGAAATTTCCAGTGATCAGCTGAAATGATGCCTTTGACTATGCATATGCTGAACAAATTGTGCCAGTAAATCATTGAAATGTGCTTGTATTTAATGCAATCTTGCACATAGCATTGAGTGTGCATATGTCTGCATCTGGATAATCGAGAATGCGTTGCAATTTATTTTAGCACACTCTTTGTCAAGGAAAATGATATTTCCATCCATTTTGTAATCCTGTCTTAGAAGACAGGGTACAAAATAGTGTTTAAATGGTTTAAAATGTTCCTTATATTTTACTAGTAAAATTGGAAAAATATTTTATTTTGAAGTTTAGTATAATATTTTTTCCTGAGCTCTAGAGCATCAGTGGTATATCAAATTAACCTATCATTTGTGTGCCACTGATGCATTGGATCATTATTTTAAGAAATTATTGACATATTACATAAAGCTACAATTTAACAGAAATAAAACATATAATTGGACAATAATTAAGAATGCAAGAATTATTAAGTTACATTTGCAAAAATTATAAAGTTATATTTGCAAGAATTATTAAGTATTTACTCATTATGCAAGAATTATTAAGTTACATTTGTGAAAAAATATAGAAAATCTTTTCAAATAAGCTCGAAATACAGATATTGGCCTTGTTAAATTTATTCTGACTATTTCAAAATGTTGAAGCAAAATTAGTGTTAGATCATGAGAAATACACATACGCATACATGTTGAATGCTCAACTCTAAAGATTACATAATGCATAATGAATTAATTGATATAGTAGGAAAGCATGAAAAGAATACAAAAATTATAAACTTACTGCAAACAAAATATCATTTGTATAGAAAATAGTACTGCATTACTACATTATCATTTGTATGGTTTATTTTATAGCAGTTTATAGCAAGCCCTTACTATTTGAATCAGTTTTCAATCAACAAGACTATTGTTTCTGATCATCAGCAATTGTTGAGGTGGGTTTGTTGTCTTCTGTCTCAGAATCCAACATTTCTATGGTGTCCACTGCATTATCACTATAATCTTCTAATTCATTCAGAGAATTCCATCTGTATTCTTCATCATCTATACTGTCATAATCAGAAAAGTTACTCATTTGTAATATTTCAAAATCAGTCAATTTTTTCATTGCTGCTTTTTTTTTTTTTTTTTTTAAAGGACTGTGAAAGTCGTGACATATTTGTACCGTCTGCCACTTTTAAAAATGCACATACAAAAATTCAGACACAAAATTTGAAAAAGGTGCACTTAAAAAAATAATAACAATTTTTTACTAACATGCCTAAATGACTTCTTTGTTCAACATTCAGTGCCACCTAAAAAATAGAGCCTATAACTTACAAATGTTGACCAGTGTCCAAAAGCATCACCAGCCTACAAATTGCCACCATTCTGATAGGCACCTGATGAAATGTAAAGGCAGCAAGCCTCAACTCATGTATATATGTAAATATCTCTAAGCTAACTAACCCTTTTTGCTAATTTTATGCTAGTGTTCCCAAAAAATTGTAAGTTGGAGCACCCAACAAAAGTAATAACTATTGTTAAATCTGTTTATCTTTAATAAGGTTGAAAAGATAAACAACCAAAATTGGTTGCTGTAGCAATGATCAGAATAACATGACTGACCTGTAGTGCCTATTGAGAGGTGAAGCAGGCAGAATGCCAACACGTTAAGAAAATACTTGTTTCATTGTTGACGAAATATTATTTATATTGCATTAAAAGAAACTTACAATCAACCTGATGTAATGATTTAGTAGTTTGAAATATCTGTATTGTGTACTTTCAATTATTGGTATTTTCTATTAATGGGGTGCTGTTTTTCTTAACATAAAAATTAGTGCAAAATGTAACTTTATGTATTTTTTTGCAATATAAGTTAGCAATTGCATTTGATGCTTTGATGCAAATTTGGCAACTCCTGCCCCATTAACAGAAAAGTGCCTAATTTTTTTTTATTCTGATATCATTGCATTTATACTGTTATTAACCAAAAAAAACATAACTCTATGTATATATTATTTTTTGTATGTTTTAAAGATTTATGTTTGTATTTTTTAATATGATGTAGTTTTGAATTTGACCTTAATTGATCTTCCGGGAATGACTCGAGTTCCTGTTGGTGATCAACCCCCAGATATTGAACATCAAATTAGGGACATGTTACTCACTTATGTGAAAAAGGATAGTTGTTTAATTTTAGCAGTGACTGCTGCCAATCAAGATATTGCTACATCTGATGCTCTTAAACTTGCTAAAGAAGTTGATCCTGAAGGTAAAATATGTTTATTTGATGCTTATATTTTCTTCTTATTTTCAGTATTAAACTTGACTCTTGTTGACTTACCTGGTATTACTCGAGTTCCTGTGGGAGATCAGCCACTGGATATTGAGAAAAAACTTCATGACTTGATTATAGATATTATATCACCTAAGAATTGTATTATCTTAGCTGTGCACCCAGCAACTGCTGATATTTCAACTTCAGATGCCTTGAAACTTTCCAGAGAAGTTGATCCTGCAGGTCAGGTGACATATTGCATGTGACCTGATTTAGGGAAAAAAATCTAACAGAATCTTATTTATTAATGCTGTTTATTCACAACTAACATCAATTATGTTTATAGTGTTTTGAATTGCATCTTGTAGTTAATTTGCAGCTATGCCTAATAGTAACATTTTTGCATGGAATTTTTTTATAATCAACTTTAAAAGGTGTTACTTTTATGAATGTTAGGATAAAAAAGAGGGAAGAGAAAAGAAAGAAACTGCTAGAGAATAGAGGTGTTTTATTATTATTATTATTACGAGGGTTGGAATTTTAATAGTGGCAACACAGCTGAAAAATGCTACGCCAAAACCAAAGAATATCGCGTTATACCCACTTGAACTACATACCTACCTACCTCTCAGCAAAAAGACTCGTCTGCCTACGTCACGCGCATGCGGAGTGACGCGAAGAACGGATCCTTGTATTAGCTTTGCGCTCTAAAGTAAGTGTTGTCAGGATGTTTTCAAAACAGAACAACGATGTTGGATAAAAATTGAATGTGCCAGAGGTCGTACAGCATGACAGTGTCATCAAGGGCTTCAAGAGGCTTGCGAGCAATCTTCATTGCCTTACAGAACCGTAGCAAGATGGGTGAAAGCATTCAATGAAGGATGCCAAAACGCGGCAGACATGCTGCGGCCAGGTCGTCCGAGTGTCAGCGATGCAGACGTGCAAGCTGTTGCCGCACTAATGGAGAGTGATCGCCGCCAAACGATTCGTCAGCTGGCTGGACAAACAGGCTTAGCCCATACGATGCGGTGCGCAATGAATTGGAAGCTGATCTGTCAGCACTATCCTTATCTTCAGGGCAGATGTTTTTATTTTATTTGGCTTATAATTCCTTACTAAATGTAGTATTTCAATTCGATTTACTAGGTTTTTGATATGATTTAAATCAAATTCCTCGTCATTATGATTCGCTTCGGATAGTGAAGAAAGTGACACAGAGGTTATTGAAAATGAAAAACTTTCAATTGACAAATTAGTCGGTATTCTCGACACAGCAATTATAGGACTTGAACAGCGGAACTTTGTAACTGAAGAAGAATTATATGTTATAGAATTAAAGAGAAAGTATTAGCACATAAAATGAAGCAACTTAAACAACTTACATTGAAAGAAATGTTTATAAGTAAACAAATAAATATTAGGCTTCTTTTTTTTTTTTTTTTTTTTTTTTTTTTTTTTTTTTTTTTTTTTTTTTTTTTTTTTTTTTTTTTTTTTTTTTTTTTTTTTTTTTTTTTTTTTTTTTTTTTTTTTTTTTTTTTTTTTTTTTTTTTTTTAAATTTTGATACCCTTTAGATCATAATGTCTTTATTTCATAATTATGGTTTCATATTTTAATTTTAAATTTCTGCATACCATCTTACCAGATTTAAACTGATGATCTGTAATCTGGAATCGCCGAAGTCCCGATGAGACCGGATTAACGACTTTGACTGATTATATATATATATATTTTGTCAGTATATTTTACGTGAACTTGTATTGTTTGTCAAGTTTCCAATTCCGTGATTACAGTTAATTCTGATATCTGCAGATCTTGGGACCTAGGGTTATACAGATTGATGATTTTGTAGATTATATGTCATGTCTTGAGTTTTGTTTGTATTTTTTTTTTTTCTTCTAATTTTTACATTGAATTTTGATTGTTTGAATATAAATAACGAATTTTATTCATTTTCAGAATAATTTAATTAACATTATAAAAACTCTTATTTTCTTTCAAAGAATCATGTCAGTGCAAAGAAAAATCTTAGTGGAGGGATAAAGTGGGGAAATTTTTCTGAACAAGTAAAATACTCTTTTCTTAAACATGCATTAAAGAATTTTACATTTAAAGAATATTATATCCACAAGCAAATTATTTTTAAAATAATTTTTGACTTTTTAAATGCAAAAAAAAAAAAAAAAAAAAAAGCATGTTTACAAACCTCTGCAGCAGTAACAATTTCCCTTAATTGAATTCCTATGTTAATTTTGTCATTATGTTCCATGCATGTGTAGTTAGATTAATGTTCCAAAGAATATTAGAGTTCTAATGTTAGATTTATTTTTTAAGAAAAATTTTCTGTTCTGTAGCCGCTTTTCTTTTTCGATTTTTAATCCAGAATAGTCTTTAATGTCTATTGGCTACTGGTGTTGCTTGCTTGTTGCACTGAATGTAACCAAATGATTATGTTTGTGAATGCATTGTCTTTCTTAAAAATTGTGCATAAATAATTTCTTGATACATGCCACATAATTTTTAAGTTATTTAACTGCTCAGAATTAATACTAGAAGACAGCAAAATATGAAATTCAAAGCAAGGATTTTATCTATGGCAAAAAATTTGCTGGAGTTCACATTACAAGAAAAGATGAACCTTTGTGCTGAAAATACTAAATAGTTTTGATACTAAAATAATTCTTTACTTCTTCAATAAAAATATTTTATAATTATAGTAAATTAAGCTTATCTTCAGATATATTTAAGAAAGCATTGCTGTTTAATATATGTAGCGTAGCGTCATCTTAAATTTAAATTAATAAACATAAGAATACATCTATGCAAGTGGACTGTAGTAAAACTTTTATTTTAGCGATTTCAACTTGACAACACAACACAGCAAAAAGTAAAGCATGAAAGTTACAATTAGCGTTTGCAAGAATGCAAAAACAAAATGCGAGCTGTGCATATGATTTGAGCATTGCGAAATAATATCTCACAGACAGGCAGATGACTCTGGTCGCCGAAACATTCCGCCCGGCATTGAAACATCATTTCAAATCTAAATACTCTTTACAAAATTAAATTATTGTAACAATATTAAATTATGCAAAAAAGTGTCAGTAAAATATTCACAAGAAAACATAATATGAAATTATGAAATGGAACTAAATGTTTCTCAAAACAGATGCCACAGAAGCCTTGATACAATTCAGGAACTTATTTATATTTAAAGCAAAGTACAACGTTATAACTTTAGGGGGCAAAAAACTTAATCACTGATAGGTAAAACACTAAGTTTGTGAATTGGCCTTTTGAAAACTCCATTAGCAGTTTTGAGCTTCACGATATGCACAATATTATCTGAGCTAGGAAAAACTTCCATTGGTTTTCTCTTTGAGATACAAGGCGCTTAAAAGTGGCAATAAATAATTGTGATGTTAAATTACCTTATTCAATATGTATAGCTCTTGTAGTAAAACACACGAATACACAAATGTAGCATTTCATTGGTTTTACTCCTCGACCTTGCCTGGGCTTCACTTAAAATGGCCCACCGTAGTCAATTCCAACCTTGGAGAAAACCTTTGACAGAACGACATTATCTGGTTAGATGTCTTAGCTCGTACACGATGACATTTCACACATTTTAAAATCTGTTGTCTTACAACTGACCTAGTGTGGATTATCCAATATTCTCTTCTAATCACTGATAGCAATAGCAGGAGGCCAGCATGAATATGGGATGGATTCATGAAAATGATTCACTATAATCTGGGTTATGTGATGTTTCTTGGGTAACAAAATATGATATTTCCTGTCCTGCGAGATGTTGGCTTGTCTTAATCTTCCTCCTCTGCATATAAGTCCATTCTTATTGATAAAAGCGTTCAAAGAAAGGATCTTACTATTAGAGTTTAACGGTTGGTTCTTCTTCAGAAGATTACATTAATTAAAAAACTCATCCCTTTGAACTACTCTAACAATTGCATTTCTAGCGTATTGCAATTCTTCGGTTTTAAGGTAACTCTTAATCCTTGTTGCGGTAGATTTAGCTGAATTATTTGCAAATCGAAAACACATGCGATGATTCTTTTAACTTTCAAGAATGATGAAACTTCATTAAGAACTGGAATTTGCGAAACGACTGTTCAGTTGAGCAAGAAACATTTTCCCTTTGTTCTTTTAAAGACTTCTGAAAATGGTAACTTGATAGAAAATGGAATATTATTTGAATTATGTGCCACTGAGGGACCTGCCCACCACAAGTCATGAGTAGAAAGTTCTGAAGGCAAAAGACCTCTTGATGCGCAATCAGTTGGATTCTCCTTCCCTTTTATGCAATTCCAATGCGATGATAGCAAGACTGATTGAATTTCTGAAATGCGGTTGGCTACGAAGTTTTGCCAGTGTGCGGATTTTGATTGTATTCATGACAAAACTATCATTGAATCACTCCATGCTAAATATCGTCAACTAATTTGTAAAGAGTTCTGCACACTTGAACCAAGCCAATAGAACTGCAGAGCAGAGTTCTAAACGGGAATAGAGATTACTTTTCAGGGAGCTACAACGAGTCGTTGAGTTATAGCTGCACTGAAACTGAAGAATTATTTTGAAGACTTTAAATAAATCACTGCGGTGTAAGCTTTCTCTTACTCCGAACAATGAAGTTTCTACATTTGTAGCTTTGTGGCAATAATCTCTCCTAGGAATGCGAATCATTCAAATTTGCGATATCTTCACAAGATTTTCCATCTTTGATTGATTCATCTGGTAAGATCATCTCACAGATTTGTAATTTCCATATATCTTGAAGCAAGATTTTGCTACAATTATGAAAGGTGCTAACTAACCAAGTAGATAAAAAATTTCGAAAGAAGACTAAATCATTCTTTTATGAAATGCTCTCTGTCTCAAGATTTCA